TGTGGTGCTAAAGCAGCCACATCTGTACGCCAGTCAGCACGGATTACAGTGAAGCTTTATTTATGGACGCCAACATTTGATTTTCACGTGTCAGTCTTTTTCGTGTAAAAAATACGAAAACCACCTCTTGGCTCTGGGTTACACAAAGGCAGGTGGCAGGCGGGATCCGGCAAGGCAGCCAGTCTGCCGGCCTCTGCCCGCTCCCGGGCACCCGCCTGCTCCCTCACCTCTCCGTACTTTCCTTCCACGTGGGGTTCACCCTCTACTTTCCTGCCACAAGCGCCCTGACTGCACAGTGGTATAATCCTGCCCCCTTCTCCCCGCCACCCCACTGTTCTCATCGCACTGTGAGAAGCACACAGCCAGTTTGGCCCAGCACGTTTCAGCTGAAATATGCTTCAATTGCTTTCTGTATAGCGTGTCTAGCAGCTCTGCAGAGCTGCACCTCCCAGAGCAGGTGTTCAAGACATGTTTGCCCAAGAAAAAAGCCAAAGCACAAAGCACCCAAAGTGGAACGAGCCTGGCCCACAGCAGTGATGCACTAACCAGCAGGAGGCTAAACAGCAGCATGACCTCTGACATGCTCCTCCTGGCAATTAGAAGCCAGAAACCTCTTCATGGTTATCATTTGCAAAATCTTATTTAGACATAAATGTAGACTGGCCAGATGTGAATAACAAGGCCAGCAAGGCGAGATGCTGGGAGATGCTGCACGGCCGGCATCGCAGGGATGGGACGCGCTGCACAGCACTGAGGACTGACGGGCCGCAGTCCACGCAGAGTGGAGCGGCCAGCAAACGGCGGGACAGACGGAGCAGACGGGAGATGGCCTCCCTGGGTGCCCCTGAACCGGAGGCCCTGGCTCTGGGCAGCACAACAAACCGTGATCGAGGGGCGCCTACTGGGCACTCTGGCATGTGAGCCTCACACAGGGTGCAGAGGGCTGGCAACTGGAAAGAGAAGCCACCAGTGGTCACCTTTGTCACCGCCAGCTTTGTAATGACTGAGTATTGCCTTTTAAAGCAATATATGTGAGCTTTATCATAAAGTCAAATTATAATAATCTTATTCTAAAATACTTAAAAAAAAAAACTTTATTGACATCTAACCATGATATGAAAGGGTTGTAAACTAGCAAAGAAAAAAACCACCAACCAATCCAGAGACCGCTGGGGTCCACAGTAGAAGCCAAAAGCTCAAGACACTGACCTGTGAGCTACTAGTTTCTGTATTCATGGCAACCCCTGGGCCACTTCTTTTCTTCCCCAGAGATAACTCCTAAAAAGACATTTAGTCACAGAGATCATGGTTCATGGCTTATCAAATAGTCTTCACTTTTTAAGCCTGAGAATAAACTATTTTTTATCTTCAAGGAGAATTAGATCAGAAGAAGAATCTTCAATTATCCAAGTGTGTGTATACAAACACACATGCACACACACACCCCATACAATTTACTCAAAAATGTTTCCCATTTTGAAAAGCTTGAGGTAAACTACTAGCAGTTCTAGAGTCAATGTTAATAAGGACATAAATGCACACTGTGCTGGCACCAAACATAATCTAGAAACCATGTAACTTTGTAACAGTAACTGCCAGTGGGAGTTAACAACAACAAAATCTTTAAGAAAACCAGGCCAAACAAAGCCACAATTGGAGGGTGGCAAAGAGTTGGACAATTCTGATACAGCACAGTACCCTACAGGGATTTGGCTTCCAAATCTTCTTAAATGATCCTGCTTTAGAACACTCTCTCTGGCAAAAACAGAAATTGTTATTCCCACAAAATAAGTATCTAGTGAGTTTCTGAAATTTTAGGGCAGCTCTGACCTTATAGCCAGCTGTCGGCAGCGCTAAGGAGGAAGGGTTAAACCTGCAGAGGCTCCCCCACACGGCCCACACCAGGCAGCCCCAGCCCCAGCACTGCCGGCGCTTAAACAAGCAGGGGCCTTGGGGACGCGAGCCCTCTCACGGGGATCTACTCCAGCACCCTTTTCACTGGGAAAGAGCTGACACCTGGGTGCTGTCCTGGCCCCAAGAACTAACAAGAACTTGGGTCCTTCTTCATCCCAAGGACCCTAGAAATGGTAAGGGGAGAAAGAGTCAAGGGAGAGGTCAGTGACAACACTGACTTTGGAGATTATGTGAACAGTACTAAAAATTCTTTCTTTCCTAAATTAGTTAACAACTTGATTCAAAGTCTTACTGGACACGGCTGTTCTGAAATACCTCCAATGTGAACATTTCGTATTAAGTTTTTTTTTTTTTTTAAGATTTATTTATGTATACAAAAACTGGGGTAGAGGCCAGAGGTGGAGGGATGAGAGGATCCACCAGGCAGAGTGGGGAGCAGAACAGGTAGATGTACTGAAATACACTGCTGAGGGGCGCAGTGGGAGCCAGGGGAGTCTGCCACACCGTGTGGGTCACCTCCCTGCCCAGAGATCAAACTCATGCTGCTGTGGCTGTGGACAGCTTCACAGTGCTGCGCTGTAACCCCCTGCCTCACCAAGGGGGCCCTTCATACTAAGTTTAAATAATGGCTGATTTTGCACAGTGGATCCATTTAGAACACAAATCGATCCTACAAGACACAGGCAGTCTTGATGGAGGTGACACAAAGCCGGCAACTGAGTAAGGCCCGTGAATGTGGAAGAGGGGAGTGCTCTGAGGACAATACTGGCCGCCCGCACGTGCCCTCTGAGCCCCAAACCTTCCTCAGCGCAGACATGGCTGGAGGAGGCCCTGGGGGACAGCTGCTGAGGGACAGCCACGCAGGTGACAACAGTAACTTGTTCTGGTTCGGACAGAGATGAAACAGCACTTACGCCGTCCACTTCACCATACCAACTCACCTAACCCTCCACCACAGCCCCAGGAGGCAGTGACAATGTCACACAAAGCGGAAGTCACTTGCTCAAGGGCCCACACGAGTAAGAGGCAGAGCTGGGCTTCAGGTCCCCGTGTGGCCTGGGAGTCAGCACTCGCCAACTGTGGCTGCTAACTATCCTTTTCTTTATTGAGCAAAAGGAAAAACAAGAGCAGCAGCAAATATGTATATGCAAATCTCTAGAAGCTGATCAAAATGTACCTGAGAGTTTTTGACAAGTCAAAATTGCAATACCATAAAGTAAGTTACCAAAAATAATAGCACTGTTAACTTTAACACGCTCTATTGTATACTTAAAATGCATTTTGGGTACCTACTATAAAGTATTCTTCACTCAACAGTAAAATTTACTATCAGGTTTAAGTATGTTTCTTATTATAAGTAGCAGTGTAACTTATGCTATGGTTGAGTAGGTTTGATTTACACAAATACCTGGCTACTAAATACCTGTAGGTACCGACATAAAACAGGTATGTTTGTACCAAAAATAAAGCTTAGATATAAAAACTACTTAAAGCCATTAAGTCATAAAACACCACAAAAATTTTTTTTATCAGTCTCTTCTTTTCTAAACATAACTACTTTTCCTCAGCAAGGGCATAACTTTCATGAATGGCCAAAATTCAAAATTCACAGGAAGGCAGGAACGTGGGCCCTCCTCTTCCTCATTAATGCACTTTGTCAGGACTTAACGGGCCACCGGGTCTTTCAAACATAACGGGAAACAAATGAGTCAAACTAGGAACATAAAGAGCAAACTGTGATTAAAGAACAAGCAAAAGGAGGAAACATTTCAATAAATTCAGATATGACATGACGACACTGTCACAGGCCTTAGTGTCTTCTGTATCTCCTAAATAAATTGAGCCACCGACAGGAAAAGGTCCCCTCACAGAGAACGAAATGCTATGAGGTTTTTAAGTTGCTAGACTCCTTTCCATCTTCTCCTCCTCATCAGTTCTTGATACTGCTGTCAAATTCTACACACTGGCAAAGAAAAAAGGGGTGAAAGTTGAGGGATTTTATAGAGAAATAGTAAAAAAGCTCGTGATTCTTTCAACTAAAACATTCCAGCCATTGACATTATCAGGGCTTGTCTTCAAGGTGGCCCATGGAACATTAACCTCCAGCACCCGAAGAACGGAATCCCACACTCGGAGGGCGGCACCTTCTCTTCTACCTCCCACCCACCTCGGGATGTAAACACGACCACTCTGCACAGGCACTGGGGAAACACGCTTGGTCCTCACGATGAATGTCGGTTCCGAGACAAGCTGAAGTACATCGAGTAGCTAGGAACGTCAAACTCACTGATCTCAAAGCCTCTCCGAGACGTACAACACTGGGCACTCACTGCAGTGGGTACGCGGGCCTAAGTCACTGACTGCGCTGCTCACAAAATGCAGGCTCTCCGGTAGCGCACTGCGCTGCGGTCACACCTCACGCTCCTTGCGTAATGGGGACTCCGGACTCTTGGCACTCAAAGGGTTATCTTTTTAATGTTTAAAAAAATGAGATGTCATTTATATAACATAAACATCTGCCATTTTAAAGTCTGTATTTCAAGGATTCCTTTTTTATTTTAAGATTTATTTAGTTAAGCATACAAGAGCTGAGGTGTAGGCCAGAGTGGGGAGCAGAACAGGCAGATGTAATGAAATCCACTGCTGAGGGGAGCAGCGGGGAGCCAGGAGAGGTCTGCTGCGCCGTGTGGGTCACTCCCTGGCCGGGGATCCAACTCCTGCTGCAGTGGCTGCGATAGCTTCACAGTGCTGAGACGTAATGCCCTGCGCCACCAGGGAGGCCCACTTCAAGGATTCTTAGTATGTTCACCATGATCTAACCCCAAAACACTTCCATCACCCCCAGCGTCCACACCTGTTATCACATGCAGTGATTGTGCCCACCCTTTCTCTGCAGCTATCTCTGGTGCCCATGCAGTTATTTAAAGATGGTTGGAGTGAATCTATAGAGTGCTTATCTATATGGTAAAAAAACCAAAAAGCTTCACTGTTCAGAAAGGTAATGAACTTAATTAAAATCTTGACATTTTTGCAATTAGGCTAGATGTAATGTTTATACATTGGCTTAGAATAGCAGAGAAACTTACATTCAACATCCATCTTCACATAACACATTAGTGTGCCCAAATTCATCCAAGATGTTAAAAGGAGAGAAGACAATCTATAAGGATTAGCCAAACTGTCCATAGTTGCAATTTCAAAATACAGAAGATGTCTATGTAGGGAAACCGCCTTTAGTATCAAGCATAGCTGGATTAAAAAAACAAAACAAAAACGTAATCATTATGTAAATATTACCCTGCTTAGGAAAATAACCCCTAGATCAATTCATTACTGAAAGTAATGTAGCTTTAAATGCAACTTTACTTTTATCACTCTACTGACCTAGTCTCCTAATGAGGAAATAACCTTTAGGCAAAGGGCTGGCGGGAGACCTGCAGAAGGCCACCGCTTAGGCTGCTGCGGCGCGCTGTCCCCTACATGCCTCACGGCTGCTAAGACACACAGGAAGGAGACCTCACCTTCAGGCAGCAGGGTGTTGAAAGCGGGAGGAAGTAGGTCCACGAGGGTGTCTTGCTTTTGTGCACTTATCTGGGGTGCTATTTCCAGAGAAGGAGCTCCTTTATAGAGTGTGCCCAAGATGGATTTCTCTAAGTTGCTCTCAGAGTTGTCCAGCTGCCCTCACCAAAAAGTCTTTGTAGTTGACAGAAACACCAGTCAAAGCAGATGCATATGGATTGTGGGGAAGCCTTCTTTAGTATCTAACACAGCTGGATTAAAACAAAAAAACTTAACCATTAAGCAAATCTTGACTTCAATCATTAATTTAGATTACAGCAAAGTATCAGCTAGGTGCTGAGCTGGAGTCTACCCTCAGCAACGGCACCTAACACTTGTTAGTGGGGATTTTGTGGGCGCAAAGGGAGGCCACTGTGGGCTCTGAACTTTCGTCTCGCAAGAAATTAGTTCTATTTGATAAGCAAGTTAAACAAGATCCAGAAGTATTTATTGGTAATTTACCTCATTCTTACTGAAGCTGTTAAGTAACGCTTCCGTACTTTCCTGCTATACAATTTGTGCCATGGTAATATAGGTACAATTTTATTGCCATTTAGAATAAATTATTAAAAAACATGTTAATTTCCTTCACAGAATACAGAGGTCAGGTAAAGTGCTTGACATTTACGTAAATAACAAATTTGCCTCAAAATCGTTATCTATGGCAGTACTGCTACTTTAGTCTTATCTAAAGATGCCCAGGAAACAGTCCTAAGTTGAAATGCCTGGGTAGATGAGACTTTAAGGTTATGTCTCCTGATCTGTAAGAAATGGCCCAGTGGTCAGAAGACTGCAACAAAATTTCACAAAGCAAGAATTCTGGCTTCCCTTAACACAAGGGCACTAAGAAGTCTCAGAATCACCTGCAGCTTAAGAAATCCAAAAATGATTTAGTATCTTTGGCATTTATTTCCCTATGAAGTCAAAAACCTGGTATCTTATCTGACTTTCCCTCCCAACTATACACTTATTAATGTAATCATTATATTGTAAAAAGCCCAAAATTAACTAACCTTGCAGATACATTTCAAAATGTAATTGCTCCAAAACTTCCCTTTCTAAAATCTTTTTATAAAACTCTAATGTATAAGATGGATTTGTTCTAAATGAGGCTGGATTACCTAGCAAGAGAGCGCATGACTCTGGTCTTGGAGAGAGTACTAACACACTCACACTAAGTGCTAATCATACACCTGGCATAGGAGAACCGAGGAAAACGTGCAATGACCACTTTCTAAGACTTGGGATTCCTCCAGTCTAGCAAGCACGTTTGCTGTATCAATTTGACGAGGATTATTTATTTCAGTTTCCTTAAAGCAAGATTGTTCAAGAGTTTAGGAGAAAATACCAACAGAACAATCAGCCTTCAGGCTACGTATGAATAACCATTTTGGTTTAGGGAAAGGGCTTATGCTCTAGGCCTTTCCTGTAGGACAAGGATAAAGGTGAGAAGGCAAAGCCATGGGAAGGCGATTTGTGCTTTTGGTGGATTCAATTGTGTTGCCAAGATTGTCTGCCGTTATGACAACTGACACTCAATTTTAACAGGAGTTTCTTCTGGAATATTGCAAAAATGTTGCACATAATCTCAGGCCCCAAAACCCTCAAAATTAATGTAATTAATGAGTAAGGAAGGCTTTAAAAGGTTAAAAAAAAACCTTGACAGTAACAAATACACTTAAAAAAAAAACAAAAAACAAAAGGTCTATACTTGTATTTAATAATGGGATCAATGCAGTAACATAAAGTCATATTCAATTTGGAAAAAATCTGGAAATTCATGCTGCAAGGAAGAATGAGAAAATGCAAGGCAGCTCAAGATTACATAGCAAATCCTACAAGCAAAATCAAAATGATCTTGTTCCCTCATCCTTAAAAAAGACACGAAAGAAACCAGGGCCGACAAGTGCACCGTGGCTCGTCTGTGTCCTTAGCTCCCTGGTCCTCAGACCTGGGGTGGCAAGAGGGTGACGTTTACTTCTAATGCCCATAAATCTACCAAGGAAGACAAGTGATTTCGATCTCTGGTTGTTAGAAATAAACATAAACACACACTAAAGAACAAGTAACAGAAAGAAGGGATGGGAACACCTACAACGCCCAACTGCGCCTGGGCACTTCGGCTACCACCCTGATTGTCTAAGCCGCTGCAGAGCCAGGATTGTCGCTCTGTACTTTCCCCACAAGGCCAGGCCCGACTTTCAACCCACGAGCATCAAGCAACGACTCAGCACTGACATTTACACACCGTTGATTAGTCTCATCTAGCGATTCCAAAACGAGCCGAAAGCCCTCCCAGATTGCACGGGCGGCTTGACGGCCCAAGCGGCGGTCGCCCAAACCGAGACGGGCACCACTCCGCAGTACGCAGGTGCTCCGGCAGACGTGAGCCTGCACGAGCCCGAGACGGAGCTGCAAAGGCGTGAGGTTGCCCCGACCCCACAGAGCACGCCTCGCTCGGCCCGGCCAGCTGGGCAGCGCGCTCTGCGGTGAGACCATCTCCCCGACGCCAGAAAGGCCGAGCCTGCGAGGCCACCAGGCGACAGCCACCTGGGCCCACGACAAAGGTACAGTGCCCAGGAATCAGACTGTGGCCCAGAAAAAGTGTCACGTCTTATCCGCCAATAGCAGAGACACTCGAAGGGCAGCAACACGCCTCCTAGGACCGCAGTTCCCCAGGCCTGGCCCGGCTGCCCGAGGGGTCCCCACCCACCCCAGAGCGCCCTCAGGCTGCTCTGCCCGTGCTCTGTGCAAGCGCCTTGGGGGCCCGCGCTCGCCAGGGGGCGTCACCGTGTGGTCGACCCTCAAAAGGGATTCAGCCCCCGTTTCCAAACCCCAGAGCGCCCGGGGGCGGGGGGGGCACTCAAGGGAGCCCGGGGCACGTGGACATCAACATTCGCCCCCGTGGAGGGGCCGCCTCGGATTCATCTTGCTCCCCCAAAGCTCCTCGCTCAGGGTGTCCTGAAGGCAGCTGAACCTCAGCACCGGCCACAGAAGCGGTTTTCCAGCGCCCTAGACGCGGTGCCAGTATCTGGGGCTCCCTCTCCCTCTGGTGCCACATTTCGGTGGGGCCGGGGCCGGGGCTGCACTCAGACCCTGTCGCCGTCGAGGCCCTGACCGGGGCGTGGGGCAGCTGCTCAGGGGAAGGCCAGCAAGGCTGGCCGCCGTGGGCAATGGCCGGGCCTCGGCGACACAAAGGGCCTCCCGCGCCCGGCGATGGGGTCGCTCGCCGGGGCTGCACGCCAGGCGTCACCGCGGGCGGCCCCCAAGGAACTCGTCCCGCGGTGTCGGGGACGGCTCGTCGCCGCCTGGCCTGGGGCTGCGGTTTTATGGTCTGAGGAACTGTTAGGCCTCGAAGGCCCGGCCTGAGGTGTGTACACTCCGCACCCCGCGCTCCCGCCTTCCGCGCTCGGCGGCGGGGACCGACTTTCCCGCCCCACGGCCAGACCAGAGGTTGGTGGCGGTCGGAGGCAGTTGGGACCGGCCCCAGCAGGTTGGAACCGGTCTGGGCCGGGCCGGAGGAGGAGGAAGGGGGGAGGGAGAGGCCGCCTCGCGCTCTCCCTGCGCGCGTGACTCACGCTGGCCGCTGACGTCAGGCGTGCGCGCGCGGCGGGGGGGGCTCTACGTACGTGTAGTGCTGCGGTTTCTCGGGCTGTGCCTGCAGCACCTGAGCGGTAGCGGCCGGGGGCGCCGAGGAAGATGCGGAGCCGCCGGGCCCGGGGCCCTTCGACATGGTCCTGTCTTCCTGCCTCTTCGCCGCTCCCCTTTTATTATTCAGTCTGCGCGGTCCGCGCCGAGGACCCAGTGCGCCTGCGCCGCGCCACGAGAACGTGAAGACCCCCCGCACGGCAGCAAGGGTTGCTGGGAGTTGTGGTCCATGCTTCCGCTGGAATTTTACCGTCAGCAGAGGGTTGCTGCCAAAGAAAGGGACCACAATACCCAGAGACCCTTGCAGACAGTGTCCCGGATGCTGACGGCTCGCGACGGCTTGTGGGGATTGCAGTCCAGTCGCATCCCTCGGTCGTACGTCGCTTCGCCAGCTTCGTAGGGGAACCTTTTCTCCAAACCCGAGCCTCTGGAGTGGAAGGGCCCCAGGGCTAGAGAGGCGCCACCGCCATCTGTGAAACTGCTCCAAGTGTAATTTCCCTTTCGACAGTGTCCGAGTTATCCCGCCTCCGTATTTAGTGCATCCTGGGCCCGGCCCTGGTGCCGGCCCCTGCTGTGCTTAATCTGTGTCCTACGCGCTTAGAGCTGGGCCTCTTGCTGCGGGCACCGGACTTCGCCAGCCTCCTCCGGACTCCTGCAGCGGAACGGAACTGAGAGGCATGAAGGCGAGTCCGCCTGCTGGAAGTCAGCTGAGAGGCTGTGATGACGACGGCGACGCCACTCGCGCCCTCTGCCCGTCGACCCGCAGCCTCAAGTCCACGCCTTGGCTCCCTTCTCTGCACCTGGCCTGACCAACTTGTTTCCAGTACATTAGGGGCCAAGGAAGAATTTAATCTCCGTGTAGAATAGCCTCGGGTACACTGGCAAGTTGCAGGGGTGTTGAGAAGCATCACACAGTACCCAGAAGGAGGGCCTGGACGTGGTAGCAGGTGCGGTTTACAATCCAGTCCGGTTCCCTTTCTTTTCAGAGAAGTACTTCGTCCTCCCCACTTCCTGTCAGTCAGCGAAGTTCTTCATGTTGCGGCCTGATCCCCCACACTGGGGCATGTGAGCACCATACAAGGGTCTTTAGCAAGATTAACGCTTGTCACTTAGATTTGTTTTCCATATTGGATCTATTGATATTTAAATCCGTTGTTTTTAAAACTGATTTACGTTTTATTAGGTAGCATTATTGTAGTTAGTCATCTTCTCGTTAAAGAGTTCCAGTAACCCTAGGGGTGAGGGAATATAGGGTGGATGGAAAAGAGTGTTTGAGAATGACACACACTTCCTCAGTTCTGAGTAACCTCACATCAGAAGCCAAGTAGTCTACAAAGTTGAGAAATTGCTATTTCCTAAACAGGCGAAATCAATTGTTTAACCACTAGGGGCGTTTGAAGATGAAAAATTTCAAGAGTATAAGCAATTATATATTACTTTAATTCTATTAGTAAATCCAAGTAATTGGTTTATATGTTATCCCCAAAATAGCCGAGTAAGCTTTGAATAAAGAACCATAGCTCATAACCACTAGATCTTAAGTAGATACCATGAGCTTCAGGACCAGTGTGGACTGGCAGAAGTGAGCAAGATCATTCAACGGGCTTCATTTACAAGAGGAAACTGAAACTCAGAGAGGTAAAGTAACTTGCACAGAGTTACTCAGCGAGTTCTGACAGAACAGGAACTAGGACAGTGGCCGGCACTGCTGCCTCACATTCTACATTGTTTTGATTGTTTAAACTCTTTTCCTACATTGCTTTCCCTCCCCTGTAACAACTTGGAAATAAGGAAAACATATGGCTGCCAAATTATTTCCACTAACCAGCCTTAAATAGATTATATAAATCCCTATCTACTTTGTCTTGGAACAATTTTAGTTTTCCAATAATTAAAAAACAAAAAAAGCTAAAACTGCCTCTCCTGTTGAAGGCAAGAAGCAGATAGTTGTGGATTTTCTTGAAGAAAACTCAGAACACAAACATCATTCATCTCAATGCCTGTTCCTTCTCTAGGTCTTTTAAATAGTCAATAAAAAGATGAAAGTATTTGTTTGGTTACATCCCAGAACATCTGAGCCAGCTAAGCAGGTTGTTACCAGCTCCTGATTTCTCGCTTTACACAGACTGAAAGGACAAGAGCATCCAGCCTGGTTCCTCTCTTCATGGAATGAGAAAGCTTCATTTCCTCCTGTATCCTAAATATTGGACAAAAGGCAAAAATTAACATTGATTAAAGTTATAACATTAACATTTGAATGTATGATAACAAAAACATTCTGCATTTTAATATTGAGAGGGCTGCAGTAATGAGGAATTCAAGTAGGGATTGAGCTATTTTAAGATAGCTGCTTCTTCAAATTGGGCATTTTTTTTCCCCTCTATTGATATCAAGAGGGAACTTTTGGTATGGCAAGTAACTTTTTTAGGTATTTGTATTTATGTACAGTAATTCTCTGAGTTAAAATGTCTACATACCTGATTTTGCTACTTTTTATTTTAACTACTATTGTCAACCCAGAATTAGAACTATCGAGGAAAATATCCATGGCTCTATTTCAATTTTTTGAACTGTTTGGCTGGTCTTGACCTTAACCTTACTTTGGTATTTGTATATACTTTAATCAGCTGAAAAACTGAATATTGCAGTCCATCCAAGACATTTGCTTAGGCAAAAGTAGGGATTATCATTTTCATGCATTTGTCATGTTTTTTCAGTAGTAATGTCTACCAGGATGTACCAATAAACACATAGCTAATTTAGTTGTCTTTACTCTTGAAGGACAATGCTAATACAATTTTAGGACAATTCCCTTTGTGAATGTGGTTATTTCATGCTGTTGAATTACATAATTAAAAATGTATTGCTTAGTAGGTTCCTTCTTGTGTAACTATACTGAAATCACAAAGGGTTTTTGTGATAGCCTAAGAATATACAGTTCTTATAAAATCTTTTGTTGACATTTTCTTTCTTTTATTTTCCCCTCACCCCAACAAATAAATGAACTGACTTTTGGTTAAAATGTGTATGTGTGGCATATAAAATACTTTGTAACATAATATGAGTTACTGAGTTCTAATTATCCTTTACACTACTTACTTAGTCAAAATGTCAATGAAAAATAATCACCAGGAAACATTTTATTTTACACTGAAAAATATTTACAAAACTTTAAAATAACCTCTCCTTCTCCTGCATTGCTTTAGCTTGATACAAATAAGATTAGGCGCCTACCCATCCGGACTCTTAGATCCTAACAGGGACCGATGCAATTCATTTGCATTGACTTTCTATTGTAGAGCTTTGGAACCAAGGGAAGGATCCAAACATAGCTCCATTTTATCCAATCAGAAGGGCCGCTTAGTGCTAAACCCTGATTCGTCCGTTCCTCTTTGCATTCGTCCAATCACCAGGCCACTTTAACAGCCAATCAGAGGCTTAGATGTCCACCAATCAGGGAACGGGGCCGAAGCACGGCCTTTGTGTCGGGGGATGTCAGCGCGTCGGCGAAGGCGCCCGCCAATAGAGAGAGTCGTTGGTGTATGCAAATGAGGGTCCTATGACGCAGGGACGCAGCGTGAAGCGTGGGTATAAAGAGAGGGGCATCGGGGGGGTTCGGAGCGCAGAGCTGTTTGGTCGTTCGTTGGGGGAGCGTCTGTCTTTTCCTCGGCGACTGCGGCTCTTCGTTGGGCAGCCGAAGCGGCGCGGCGGTCGGAGGAGCGGCCCCAGACTTCACCCTTAGGTAGGCTTTCGCCGATTTAGCCGAGACTGGGTCTCCGGCAGCCGTTGCTGTTCGGCAGGCCGCGGCCGTTGAGGCCCGGGGCGGGCTGCTCGACCCCCGCGGCCGGCCCCCGGCGCACTCACTGTAGCGCTTGGCTCCGTACGCCACGCCGAGGAACAGGGCGGAGTAGCGGCCGAGCTGCGGGGAGAGGCGGTCAGGGCGCCGGGCGCGGCCGGGCGCGGGGTCGGGAGGGGTCGGCGCAGCCAGGGCAGCCGAGGGCAAGGCATCGCGCCGGCCCTGCGGGGAGAGGCGGTCAGCACCGGCGGGGAGCGAGCAGGTTCGGGTCCGGACTCCGGCACGGTCACCCCAAAATGAGCAGGGTCATCCGGAGGAGGAGGAGGAGCGGCCGGGAGGGGATGGAGAGGATGGAGCATCCCGGGGAGGGGAGCTCGGCAGGGCCGGCGCCGACTGGGGCTGCGCGGACTCCGCCGGACAGGGGGGCTCGGCCGGCGGCGCAGGGCGCGGGCACGTCCGCTCCGGGGCTGGAAGCGAGGCGCCAGGCGACCCCGCACCGGACCGGAGGACCCCACCTGGAGGAAGTGGGCACTCCCAGGAGAGCTAGGCAGGCGGTGGGCAGGGGCAGCGGAGGAGACTCCAGGGAGGGGGAGACAGGCCAGGAAGACACCAAGTCCCAGGAAGAGGGGCCCGGAAGCAGCAGAGGAGGGAGGGGGAGCCAGGGGAGGGGCAGGGACCCCAACAGCAATGGGCTCTTCCTACCTGTTGGCAACTCCTCCCTCCGCCGCGAGTCCTTGCCTGTTCTGACCCCAGTCCACAGCCTGCAGAGGCTGGCACTGCCGCCCCTCCCTGTAGGAGGGCACCGGCCACCCCTTCGGCTCCCAGGCACCCGCCAGACGAGTCCGACTGCCAGCCCCGCCCCCAGGGCTGGTGTCACCAAGGTGCACACCAGGCTGACC